CTTTAGAAGAACCTGTTACATGTGAGTAGAGGTGAACAGCTCCTAACCTGTGACAACCCCTGTACAGAAATCATGTCTAGCAGTCACTCCTAAGACATGAAATGAAGCAGGCTTTCAGTATTTCACCTTACAGTAGAGTGAGTTTTATTCAAACCAAACTCTTCAAGTGTTTTATTTAGACCCTGAGCTGAAATGAACTCTGTGAAATGCTTGCAAAATAGACTTTTCAACACAGGTTTTCAAAATGATGCCTTCATTTTTATGCAGTGGCAAAGGTTGCACTGAACAGAGGGCAAACAGCAGCAAAGGACCAAATTTACTGAAGAGTAAAAAGCTGCCCAAATGGATCCCAGGTGGAGTTCAGTCCTGAGCAAAGACTTCAGGATTCGGTCATAGTGCTGACCACCATTGTGTCCACTACATATTATTAAGAATTAAATTAACTACATTTTCTTTTCAATACAGATTCCAGTTGCTCCTGGAGTCACAAAGAAGGGAAGAGGAAACACTGTGATGAGGGGATATAAACCCACGTGCAGGGACATGAAGCAGAGGACCTGTATGTACTGAAAGTGGTTTATATATGTGTGCTCTGATCTTTAAATGTAACCCTAATGCTTATCACGAGTTAGTAATTGCTTACCAGAACCAGACTGGCCTTTCAGTGTAGCATCAAACTCGAGGCAATGAGGGCAGCATGAAAAACAGCTTCTAAGTTGTCAGTGCCTTGGACTCCTTTGCCTTTTCTTTGCCTGTAGAACCAGAAATGAATGTGTTATCCTTTCAAACTGCTTTGATAAATCTCATTCCCTTTAGGATTAAACATTCCTGAACATTTTTATGTCTCACTGAGCTCTTTCAAACAAACATGAATTAATTCTCTAGCTCAACATTTATTCCCATATAAGACCTAATTCCCCTTGTCTCGAGTGATATCCTCGTCATGGTCATTTGTGCAGAGTGACCATTCTTACTCTTGCACCTGCTCTGACATGGCTTATCTGAAGCCATTCTCCATTATTCCTCTTTGCTTTTCTGACAGCCCACTCTGTCAAACCTATATATTTACACAAGGAGCACCCCAGTAAACAGTTCATGTGCAATATTCAGTATTGTGTAGTAGCTGAGAGGAGGGAAGCTGCTGACAAAGTGCATGAAGGTGATACAGACTTGATAGAGGGTGAGGATTTTGTCCCAGCAAATCTTTGTAAAGAAATCAGTGCTCAGGAAGAAGGAAGGAATGATCCATCCCAGCTCAGACAGAGCCTGAAGCACGTGTATATTCATTCAATAATTCCTCTTTTCACATGTAATCTTAAGTTATATGTCTTAGTGATATAGCAGTCCTTGAATGAGTGAGATGGCACACCGGATGACATGACAAAAATATCAAGTGAACAAGAAGGAAAGCACAATTTGTGCTTCAGAGTATGACTATTTCAGAACTAATGGGACTCGAAAAAAGTCCCTGCTTTCTCCTCCTTGTGTGTGCTGTGTCATATAAACAGACTATAAATTCTTCTATGATAAAGTGCACTTCTGAAGTGCTGAGGTGCAACAGAGAAAACCAATCTGCATTAAGATACAACTGATTTGTCTCTTACACTTGACCTGCTGTTTGGCTGCTGAAGAGCCATCCTGTAATCGGACATGTCAAATTACCCCCTCATTTCCTTTAGCCAAGGGAAGCTGCTAAAGGAGGGCTCTGCCATACTCAGTTTAATTGAGATGATCATCCAAATGCACAGATGTTTATTCCACTCTCCTCCAGTGAAGGAAGTGGGACTCTATGGCTGTGACATTTCCAGGACTCTGGACAGGGCAGGATCCATGCAGAAGTGCTCTCCCTTGCACTGCAGTATTGCTGCACTGTTGGAATCAACTCAGCTCCGGTAAGGAGGCAAAAATTGGAGGAAAATGTTGTCAGGTAGCCTGAAAAATATTTTTTCTCCAAGTGGCTTGATTTTGTGATTCATGTGTGAAGTTTCCATTGTCTCCTGTTCTGTTCCAATTGATATGTACATTTCTAACTCGTGTGCTGTATTTTTGCGTATTATGGATCTAATTAAATCTGGAAGCAGATAACTAATTCCAAATGAAGTTAGACAGAGGTGACCTATAGTGTTAAACTTCAGTGTTTTCATATATTAGTTTCCAATTAGATTTCATATACTAATTTTAGAATTTACCAGTGCCAGTGACTTTATACTGAAGAGTTACACCCTGCCATTGGTGCATTTTAGCTAGTTATAAATTCAGTCAAATTCCTATTCCATCTATTACCAGCTCAATGCATTATACAGTAAAACTGACCTCCTAAACCTTCCCAGGTAAAACAACCAAACAAAGGCTGCTGAAAGCTCTAAATATCTAAAATGGTTTAAGTGACCTTTAAGAAACTTCTTTCCAGTGCCTACATACATCTGCCCCCATTATAACTGTATTTTGGGGGGAGAAAAAACCCCACCATTTGGGAGCTGTATTTCCTCAGGTAACATTGGTAAAACACATAAAATTCCTCTTGTTTAGGCCAATGTAAGCTTGTGAAATCTGGAGGCTACTATGAAACATTTATAAAAATGCAATCCTGCAAAGGCCTTTGTGTGGTGAATGCCAGAAGTACCACCGTGTGCAGGACATATTTTTAATATTGATAAAAATGGAAAAAAAACATAAGATCAGCCAAATCTGTGTTCCAGGCTTGGACTGTGACCACTGACAACCTCTCAGCTACACGAGGAGTTCAAGGAGTGCACCACAGTTTGTCAGTGGCTCCCATGTACCTCTTGCTGCCCTCATGTCTGAATGTCACCTTCCCAACTCTTCTGTGTGGTAAGGAGTGATGAAATGTCAGTTTAACAGGAAAAACTGAGTTTCAGATATACGAGCACTCCTCTGTTTCCTGTATTTCCTCATACAATGAAGATATGATCCTGATTTCAGGACTAGTGATATCTCACACTGACACAGTGCCTTGAGAAAACAATAGGATAGGCTGGCACAGGTACGATAACATATTAAATTGATATAGCCAGGATAAATACCTAAAAATGCCACCATGTACTAAAATAATGTATCAGCAACGAATGACTGCAATTCCTACCTCCTTGAATTTCAGGAAAGGACTTCCATTTTCCTCCAGGGCCTCTCTTTTAATAGGGGAGGGGAGGGCAGCTGAGATTGATAAATAGGCAAGCAAAGCCACAAGTCAAATGGTGCAGGCTCCAGTCTGGATCTGCTGTATGTGATTCCAACAGCCTGGAACAACCAGCAGGAATTGCTGTTCCCAACAGTGGGGCATCTCCACAGTGCAGGGGCTGCTGTGCTCATTTATCAGGTTTTATGCTGAGAGTCCAGGTTTTACAGCAATACAGGACAAAAGCTGAGTCTGCATATTGTCAAGTCCACATGGAGTTTGTTTGAGGATGCTGTGATCAAAATGGAGAGGTTTTGTAGTGAAGACACAATTAAATCATAACTATCTTTTTCACAAAATGAGCTTTTACTGCTGGAATTACCAGCTGGGCTCCAGTCACAGCATCACCAAGGAGCTCTTGGACTCTTCCTTAGCTCTCCACTGGTGCTTTGCTTCTATCTGGCCTAACAGGCAGAATAGAGTCTGGCCTACAAAGTTATCATTAGAATGTCAATAGAAATATAATTACATTTTCTCCAGCAATGGAATTAGCACCACTAGGAAACAAAACCATTTTAGGTTTCTCCTGCTGTGTTTGTATGAGCTTGGGGTCTCTAACTGGCAACCAGGGAAATTTGGCCTTTGTGCTCAAATAATGTAATGCTATGCTTTCCAGCTCGAGATGAAATTACTGCTGGTGGGGTTTGTGCCGTAGGAAAAGAATTGCTGTTGCTAAATCTTCTGGTAGTTCAGGCTGCTTTGCCTCCCCACATGAAGAGAGTTATTTACATGGCTTTGCATACATAGTTATACAGCTACAGCTTATGCATTTGTGTGTGTGTGTTGGTTTGGGATGTCTTTTTAGGATTGCTAGTGTGAAAGATGCTATGATGTGAATCATTGTAAGTGCAATTTCTGTGGAAAAGAATATGAGCCTTCTGGTGCCCATTCCCTGTCTCCATGGGCACTCTCATTTTCTAAGACTCTGGAGGTGTGTGAGGGAGCTCAACAGTGAGCTCTGGGATGCTGCTCCCTACATCTCCTTACTGGGGACCCAGGGTGTGCTAAGGGTTTCCTGGCAGGCCATGTGCCCACATTTTTCCTGGTGAAGGCAAGGACTGGGGATTGCAAAGGGGAAGGGCTTGGGTAACCATAGACTTGTATTCTGTGTTTTAATGTACAAGTCAGTTAGGAAATAAATGAATCACTGGAGATTACTGGAGTGTTTCTTGCACTTTTCCCTCAGCATCCCAGAAAACACAGTATTAGCTCAGAGTGATGGTGAGGAGCTAATTCTGCCTATAATTGTACCTCCTGTACCAGTATTGCTGCATTCTCAAAAATGGTCCCAAATGAGCTAAAATCACCAAACTGAAGCCAGTTTCTCTTACACGTAGCCGTGAGCCTTTTTCAAAGGAGTCTGAAATTACACTGCAGGATAGGTATTCCAGCTGCTCCTTCAGCCTTGTCCAACTGCAGTGATTTAGAGCAAAGCCTTCATGAAAGCAACGGGAAATTTGTGCTCAGTCTTGCCTGGCCAGCTGGATTCCAAGTGCAAACCAAGCCCTTGTGCTGCCCTTACTCAGGGATGACAGTACAATCAGGGTGGGGGTAGGCTGGCATTTTAGTTCAGACTAGAGTGCACTTGTGAAGCAAATTCCCTGATTTCTCCCAGTTACCATGCTTGTCTTTGCACTGCAGGTCAGAGCACAGGAGCCGGACTTTGGGATGAATCCAGCATGAGAAAGGTGCTCCACAAGGACAATTCCTGTGCTCCAGCCAGACCAGATTGGAAAACCCAACCAGGTGTGCAATAGGGATGTGGGACCCCAACGACCAGCTGGAGACCTGCTCCCATTTGACTTTCCAATGTAGATGGAGCCATGTGACACCCAGAGTCCATCATCAGGTAAGACATTATTAGTGCATTACAGACTGTTGTTTTTACTAAATACAATGGAAAACCTAAAATAATATGCTTATCTCAAATAATTTAAACTCAAGGCTTTCAACTTCTTTGCACAGTTCCTTATTTCCCTCCTCAGCCAAAGAAGCAACTCTGCTTTTGAGACTCTCGACTACCATATGCATGCTAAAAAAAAACCCAACCAAACCTCTCTTTTTTCCCTATGATTTACATGCCAAATGTGCTTATTTACTCCTAGGTAGAATGAATCTTGTCTTTAATTACTTTTATACCAATTACATGCTTTTAATCTATGGTTTAGTGATTTATCACTTACAGCTGCAGTGAGCAAAACATACATAGGCTGGGAAACACATCCCTTGTGTAGATGGTGCTGTAGGGCCTTTTTAAATCATGCCAACCCCTGTGAGTTACTAAGTAGTTTTTAGGCTTTGAACAAATGAGCACATTTTAGTCAAGGACATCATTGGCAACTCCTTATTAGGAGTATAAAAAGTGTAAAGCTCAGGAAAGCTTGTTACAGAAAACTTAAGATCACACACTTTCAGGATTTTGTTCTAACATTGTATTGGTTTTAATCTTCCTCTTGTTTTTCTGCCATTGCTTTGAAATTGCAAGTGGGTAAAATTCCTTAAGTCAGGATAGGATGAATTAATTCACGAACTTTCTAGGTATGTGGATTTAAATTTTTTTTGACTGATTTCTAGTATGTCAAAATCCTACACTTGTATTGCTCTCCCCTTCAGAACATGGGAAAATGACAGCATTAAAGAATTAGTCCCCAGAGCGTTATTATCCACTTCCAGCTGATGGGGTACAAAGAGGCTTGATGGCTTCTTCAATACACTGTGGTAAAGCTGGGAAAGGAATCCAGATGTCCTGGTCCCTCATCCTGTCCCTGAACCACAAACCACACGTCCTTGCCTTATTAGCGACAATCACAGCACATGCAAACAGACTATTTATATCTAAATATTTCATCTGTTCTCACTCATTATTCCCTAACTCACCAATGTAATTGTGCTGGCAAGGAGACAATCCCAGTGAGAGCAAACAGATTGTTAGGTTTTCTGCTGAGATACAAGCTGCAGAAGACCAACTCCCAGATAAGTGAGATCAAAAGGACCGTGTTCCCATTGAAACATCCTTGGTCGTGCAGCAGTGGGACAGAAGGTTTCGTAACATCTTCCTCGGCCGACTCTGGCAGCTGCATTAAAAGCACTGATCAAGAAGGGTTAACTTGGAAAGTTAAGTATTAGCCCAGAATGAGTTTAGCCAAAAAGAAAAAAACACCCCAATAAAAAGGGGCTTTGGAAAGTTCTGGTTTTTGAGTATCATGGGATATTTAACACTCCTCCAAGTTTGCATAACAAGCAACTTTGGACAGAAAAATAAGACGACTGTGCACAACAAATCCAAGATTCACATTTCATAAATATTGTTCCAAATTGCTTCAGTGATTACATCTTCTCTGATTAGCAAAAATCATGCTCAGTGTGGTGAAACACTTGCTTCCATGTATGGGGAATACCAAGGCACCTTGGGCAGGACACAAAAGTCATTGAGGATCCTGCTGCTGAAGTCAGCGACACCACATTTCACTCTATATAAGGCTGCCTCATCCCAGGACTGAAGTGGCAGCTGCAGTCTGCCTCCCAGATGCAGACATTGTAGATATATAATGTGCACAGTCCTTTTTATTTCCCAGTGACAGGCAGAAGCGTGGTTGTGTTTGTCAGCATGTACACAACACGTACACTGGTCCTTCTCCACAGGATACTGGAGTTTATCACAATAAAGCTTTAGGTTACTAATTCCAACCAGACTTAGAGCAAAGGCTGAGAGTACAACATTGATTCATAATGTTCAGGTTTCAAAAACCAATCTCCAATTAACAGGAATATTTTGGCTGGAGTTTTCTGTCTGCTGACCATGCACTCCCAAATGTGGAGCACAACCAGTTGTATTTGAGAGCGCTGGAGGGAGAAGGCAGCTAAAGAGCTCTGTGTTTTCATCTATTACCAAGCCAGAAATACTCCCCTGTACATGTGCTCTTTTGTTCTCTCTTGTGCAGTGTTGGGTGACCTGGTGCAGTCCCTGTACAATCGTGAAACCCTCTGTTGTTTGACACCACGAGTGATATGGGCACCATAACCTCTGTGTGGCCCTGGAGCTGCACAGGAATGATTTCCTGCTCTCTGCAAAGGAAGATGCCTTCAGATTTTGTTAAATGATAACAAATAAGGAAAAGGAGGCCTCCCCTAGTTGTAGCAATCCTATCCCTCCCACTGGGCTTTCCTAGAGGTGGCAGAGTTGAAACTCCCAGGTTTTATTTTCAGAACATGATCATTTCTCATTTTGATATTTTAAAGTAAACAATTCCTGGTTCCCATGTATTATTCAAGGAGAGAGAAGTGGGTATACAGTGCATAGATAATCAAACATCCAGCCTGCACCAGACAACCTTCTCAAATCACTTGAGAAACTTCCCTATTGCTGTTGTTATCATTCTCCATTCACTTCCTCCAATTATCCAACACTTCAAACATCGTATCCTATGTTTTCCCCACAGCTGTGGGGTGAAGCAAGCAGGAGCTGTGTTCCAGCTTCCCTGAACAGTGCTTGCCTACAGGAGAAGAGAGGGAGCTGCACAGATGTTGCTGGTATCACATTAATACAGAAACAACCTGTTGAATGTAGATTTGTTTTCAAACCTTTCAGTGAGAAAATATCGGTTTCAGAGAGAGGAATTAATGATTTTAACCTGCCTATCATGTTCTTTCATTGCCAACACATAAAATCATTACTGGTGTTTCAAGCTGCAAGTAGTAATGTTGAGGATATTTTCATTACTGCCAAAACATTTACATGAAACTGCTATTCAGATCAAATTATCTTGGAACTGCAAAGCGTGCGTGGATTCCAGATTATCCAACTTGGAGTGGTTGCTGCATATTGAAATTACACAGCACAAACCAGCAAAACTATTGCTTCAGATTCACAAGAATGGCAAAAAAATAGCTCTTAAAAGAATTCTTGTCCTTAAATGCAGTACTGTTACAGACACAGGATTTGGCTGTATTTAAACCACTATTTCACTACCAGAAAAACAGAGCTTTGCACTCTTTGAGCCTGCTTGGTCCTGACTCTTGTTTCCACAGGCCTTTAAACATGAGCAGCACTGCCCAAAGAGAACAGTGGCACGGAAGTGATACATTAGGAAACTGAAGCACAGAAGGTGAAGAGCTGGGACTGTTTGGGGAATGACAAACTGAAAGTGTGAATTCCAAAAATGCAGTGAACTGCCAGAGGTGCTCAGTGCTGGGAGGATCCTATTAACTATCTCACACTTATCTTTCAGCAACACACCAGTTACGGAAAAGACTCCAAAAGATCACCAAAAAGAGGACTGGGCAACACTGTGAATTTCAAGTCTTTGATGAACCATCATTCCAGGTATTTTGATGTGTATTCCTTTGCATAATGTTCTAAATACCATTACTGTGCTGCTTTTCAATAAGGATTCTGTGCTGCAATGAAAGAATCATATGACCACATTAAAGATGTCCCTAAGAAAACTGTGCTTTCCTGGAAAAACCACAAAGGTAATTTTCCAAGAATCACAGGAAGGATTGTCTAATTTAGCAACACAGGTAAGGGATCATTTCTCTTTAGCAGAGAGGGGATGGACAGATGAAAACACTATATGCAGGAAAAACTGAAAACTTCCAACAGCCGCAGAAAAGGGTTTACAAAGGAAAGTGAGGGCTGTTGGAGAAATTCCTCACACCTGTGAGGAATATTGAGTGTGGCACTGGAGCAGGGTCCTTTGCCCTTTTGGTCCCTGATAAGGGGAGATTAACATCTAAAATTTGTGTGCTTTTTCCGTGCAAGTTTGTAGTTGATTTGTTCCCATTTCTTCAGTGAAATATCCTGAAAAGCAACAAAAAAAGCAATAGGGTAAGACAGGTCCCCCAGATGTGGTGAGGAGTGTTCAATGGGTGTTTGTCTGCAACAGGAAATAACTACCTGTGTGCTCTTGCACCGGGCTGTGTTTTATCGTGGCATCAAATCACAGTGATTTCGGCATTAACTTGATACACAGATATTCTCTGCTGCTGGGTGTCCTGGGTGTAAGTCACAGATAAGGCATCCTGTCTGGAACAATCTGGTATGCTTCTCTGGGAAAGGGAATTAAAGGAAGGACCATACTGGGAGGAAAGAAATGCTAATGATCTCTTCAGGGGCTGTGCTTTTCCCACTTCTTTTAATGTGCATGCAGTGACAGCTCTGCAAAGTAGAATATACAGAAGAAAATGCACAGTGCCCACATTCCAATTCATAGTCACCCTCTGTGTTTTCCATGGTATTTTCATTACCTGGTGAGATGTCCGTGTCCCCAAACACAGGTACAGAATAGTACAGGGTGCAAAGCCAGAGCTCTGAGAATGCCTGAGCTGGTGAAGGAGTGACAGCCACGTCACCCCTCACTGTCTGCAGGACTGCTGACGTGGTAGGTCTGGCAATGGTCTTGATGGCACCTGGGAGAACAGGGGGACATGGTTTCCCACATCATCATCTTTGTTACAAGCTCTTGAGGCTTCTTTGTCCTCCACCTTAAAGACAAAGAATTCTGAATTAGTGGCTTTGATTCAGGAGGGCATTTCAACACCTAATTTAAAGCATCAGATGAGCTCCAGTGAGTACAGGAAGTGTGGGGGCAGTCAGAATCACACAAGCACATATGTAAATATTTCCCTGGATGAGGCTTCAAGTTGCATTTGGGAAAATGGGCAGTTAGAGAAAAAGAAGAATTTCTTTTCTTTTTTTTCCCCAACAGCATTTAACTTCATTTTTCTTAAAGTAGGGATGTGTGAAAAGCTGCACTGTTGCAGATAAAAGTATATAAAACATGGTAGATTAAAGATTTGGATATTGATTTCTCAGGAGACCTTTTCCAGTCTAGACTCTCTTGACATATCCTGCCAATTTGTTTGTCTGGTCTCCCTGTGAACATAACATTTGATACTGCAGGCAAGGTAAAGATCTTTGATAAGCTTGCTGCTTCCTGTGTTCACAATGCACTTTTGAAACACAACTTAGAGCTCCTCTGCATCACCCCCATCTTGCATGTTTTCACCATGTGCTTTCGTGCTTTTCATTTGTGTACCCCGTGCCTTCATCCCATGGTGGACCATTCCCAACTTTCAAATCTCCCGTGAAGAGAAGGCAACACCCCCTCATCAGGTTTACCCTCTGCATGGTGGACACACACTGCTGAAGTGGTAGGAGTTGATTGTGATCTTGCTTGTTACCTGTCTTCACCCTTTGGTAGCTATTTGTACCAGTGCCAACAAACTGGAGACATGGATAGGGACTGAACATAAGAAATTAAAGGGATTTCCACCAGAAGGATTCCAGAAACTAAGCGGATCTTCAGGGGGTGATGCTGACTCACTAATGGCACTTCTTGCAGTGCCTTTATTGCTTTTTAGTTAAGCACACAATGAGTCTCTATAATTAAGCCACAGGCATAATATGGGACAAAAGGCACATATGGCTTTTTTTCTGGTTTTAATTTTCTTCCTTGTAGTTATTACTGGGCCCACTCTAGTGGCAACAAGTAGACATGAAGAACAGTTGTGCTCAAATTTGGCCATTTCAGATGAATCTGTAAAATTCATGCTAGTTTCTGAAATACCATCTTTATTGCAAGTTACACAAAGCACGTTTTTTTCTAAATGCCTTTGTTAGTCCAGCTATTTTGGTTTGGGGAAAAAAAAAAAAAAAGGAAGAATATTTGAAATTCAAATTAAAAAATGACCTGACAGTAAATATATGTGTGTTGAAATTTAGGGAGACCAGGTCAGTCATCCACAAGGCAAGCCATCTCTGTTTGGAAAAGTGTCTTTATGCCCTCCCCTGCATGGAATGAATGGAGTTCAAAGTCATGTAACCCAGTTGTGGCAAACAATCATCAGACTAAATATCCAGACCTACTCAGGTTAACTTCCTGTGAAGAACCTATTATCAAAACAAAACCCTAAAACACTAAAGAAATCTGTTCTTTCAGGAATATTTGTTTCTGTACCTTGATACTGTGATCTCCCCAAGTGGCAGAAATGTTCCCATTTTCTTTAGCAGTGTGGCTTGCTAGGAATAACCTGCATGTCTCCTTATGTGTATCTGGCATTAGCAAGTGCTTCCCACCCTGAAGTTTCCCCGGGAAGCTTGCTTCCCCTGGCTCATAGCAAGCTTCCAGGAAAATCAGTTTGTTCTACAGATGTAGAGGAGTCTTTGTCGAAAGGAAATTCCTCCCAAACCACGGATAATCATTATCCATTCTGAATGACCTAATTATCTTCTGCTCTTTTTTTATTGTGTGGAAAAAGAAACAAGGAGTTTTCTCGCCCAGTCCCTCAGAAGTGGCCGAAATGCTCCGTGTCTAACGGAGATCACGGAATGGCCGCCGTCCCATTGTCCAGCGTGGGTGCCTGGGCTCCTAAGCCAGACATTAAAGTGAACAGAACCAATTAGCCCCTGCTCACAATGGCAAAACCAGCTGATGTTCCCTTCATTTGAAACAATGGGAGGACATGCACGGGCTGTGTAACTCCTTCCAGAGTGGGACCGTGAGAAAGTGAAGCCTGTAAATGGCCTTTCAGTGGATGAACTCCTGAGCAGTCTTTCATACTGTGAACTCATCACTCAGCTGTCTGGGGGTGGTTTTCTTTAGAAAATCCCAGTTCAAATAGAACATGCCAGTTTTCAGTGATAAACCCTTCTGCTGAATGATATTCTGTCTCAGCACTGTGTTTACCCCAGTATGGATTTATTCAGCAGCATCTTTTCCCTCCAACCCTCTTTTACATTCCTTACCATGCTTGTTCCTCTTCCTAATAATCACGGAATAGCAACAACCACTGATGAGAGTGTGGCAGGAACTGAATGTTGCTCCTAACAATGGCAGTGAGGCTTTATTTAAGATTTGGATGCTGAGAGAATTCGAGCAAAGAAGCTGATGAGATCAGAAATTCAGCCCTTCCATATGAATTCAGTAACTTCCTTTTGACTACTTTCTCCTCCACCTATTTGGAATTTTGCCACCACATCTAATCCCTGGATATCCAGAACCCAGCTCCTGGTAGCAACAAGACTGAGTTCGAAAAATGACTGCTCTTCAAAGCTGCTGTACAGCACTGTGTCCCTTCCCACCTGGAATGTCTTCCAAGCATCTTCAGGCAACAGTTCATCCCTTGCAAGTGTGAAGTTCTTTGAAACAACAAGGCCTTTGCTAATGGCAAGGCACACGTGCCATGAACTTTGGGAAAACAATCCACAGTAAACAGGACCATTTACTTCATTCAGTACCTCTGGCAAGAGTCTGTTGCCTTGGTTGCCAGCTGATGCTGTGAATTTCCTGTAGGCAAACATTCCTTATGAGCATCATTTCTCCTTCCCCAGCTGCTGCATTTCCCTGCAGTTCAGCTCAGTCTGGACACCACAGCTCCAGAGGTCTGACTCCTGCCTGGGCAGGCCTGTTGCCAGCCACCTGCAGCTCAATGGTCTGTTGCTTTCTGAATCTGCTTCCTAAAAATCAATCTGAACTCAATTATTTCATGACTAAGACTCACTAATTCCTTTGCAAGAACTAACAGTGAAGTCATCTCAGTACAGGATACTTGGAAGATTGGTAGGACTTTGTGGTCATTGAAATGTAACTATGAGGTCTCCCCAAAGTGCCACTGAAAGAATGAGGAGACAAATACAAAGAAGGGCCATTTCCTTTATTATCCAAGAGATGGTACCAGAGAGCCCCTACCTCTGGATTATTTGTCTATCCAGTGGCCTGGGTGAAACAACTACTCAGATTCACTAGTTTTATGGTCATTCTTCTCTTGCTCACCAATAGATGGGAGCAGAGATTTCTCGACTCATGAGATTTTCGGGCTGCAGCACTTGCAGTTTTTTGAAGACTAAAAGGGGCAAAAAAAAGAAAACCAAACAGTGACAATATAACTCATTCATGTGTCCACAGGGAGAAGGACATTGTTTTCTTTAGTGGCATACAAATGAGGGTTGTAATGGGACTCAAATGGAAACCAGGAGTCAGCACTCTTGAATTCTTTAACCTTGGAATCTCTGGTTTGGTATCTAGTGCTGGTCAAAGGTATTTAATGTGTTTACAACCCCTCATTGTTATTTCCCAGATATAAGTGTGTTTTGCTTGGATCCAAGCCTTTACAAAAGCAAATAAACATGTCCTAAACTTCCATTCATTTTTCTTACAAGATCAAAGAGGAAAAGCTGTCCAGAAGTAAAAAGCTAAGCCTCTAATGAGATGATCAGTGAATTGTTTCTCTCTTGTACTATAAGCATTTAAATTACAGTATTGCACTTAGGGCACTCTGCACTTCTGACTGGTGTAGCAGGATCCAGACAAATCACTTCAGAAATTAACTTTCAGCATAGGTCCCTGGCCTCTGACCTTTCATCAGAGACAAGCCAAATGCTGGCTATTAATTGTGCCTGACACTCCTCAAGGGGTGGATACACCATGAGGAGTTTCCTACCAACCAGAAGCAAAATCTTGGATGGCAGTGGAGCAGCTGCACAGGTACCAGCTGTGTGACACTGCAGTGCCTCTCTGCACTGAGCCCAATGGGGTCTGTCTGTAGTAGATGCTTACCCTGGAGGGGCAGGATGGTCCTGGCACAAAAGCTACAACTAAACCTGCACTGATTGGCAAAATCCCTCACAATCGATAAGATTCGTGAAGGTCCTGAGTCACTGACTCAGGGAGGTGCCAAAACCTTTTTATAATCCTGTGCTGTTAAACTAGAAAATGCTTTTTTTAAACCTATTTACTGATATGAGTTTGCATAGCTTGGGGTTTGTTTGTTAGGGGGAATTTTGGTTAATTCATAGTGGGAATATAAAGGATCTTGGCTTTGAACTGCGTTTCTCAGCTTTTTTCATGTCATTTGCTTTACTCCAGGGGATAGATCTCTCCAGCTGCCTTTCATGACATGACCTGAAGCAGGGGTCTGAAGTGATTTTTTTTTCCTTCCCTTCTGGCAGTAACCCTGCCAGATACAGATACCACTGGTCTTAACTAGCACAGCCAGAGCTGAAGTTGCCAAGAACTCTGGAAAAAAAAGGGAGGAAAACAAAGTCAGCCGACTGCATGCCAAGGAGGAGGTATTTTGGAAGTTAAAAACTCTGATTTGTTGTTTGGATGCATTTGGAATTTATCAAAGCCATGTCTTCATTCTAGTAATAAGCTCTACTAAAAAACAAAATCCTCTACATAAAACTGACTTTTGACTTCCTAATTTAACAACAGCAGCCTTTCTGAAATTATAGTTTCTGCTACTGTCGAGTTAAAAATTAAAATTAAAAACTTAGCCTGCAAGAGGGAGAAGTTTCACACCTTTCTATGGGGGAGGAGTTCCACAAAATTCCCCAACAAAACATCAGATTAAGATACTATGGTGATTCAAAATTTAAGTATGTAATGAAAGGGAATGCATCTTACCCAGCTTCAGCTGACTGGGACTCAAGAATTAACTATTTGTCCTACCCTGTCAAGGCAGAAAAACAGGTACCTCTGGAGCCCTCTCCACATGATGCTATGGAGGGAATTTTTTACCCTGTGGAGAAATACCAGAGTTTTAATTCCCTATGGAGAAAGCCGAAAGAAGCAGCTTCGACTCAACGCCCAGCTTTTAGATGCCTAAACTGAGGTGAGTTGAGTCCTGTCCCTGCTTAAGTGGGACCAGTTTTTTTTGAGTAATAGTTTCTCTTGAAATTATATCAGTGGGAGTATTGGTCCTAAAGTGGACAATAAGGCAAGGGAGTGAAGACAGCTCCCTGTGACGTGATGTAAAGTTCAGCTCGTGAGTATCGGCACTGTGCCTGCGCTCGCGTAAGGAAAAAGGATCCACTTAATCACATGTTCTTTTTTTCATATACAGAAACATGATCTATGAGACAGAGCTAATGCATAAAACTCAAACCCTTAGCACAAGTTTTTCCTGGGCTACAATTTATTCAGCACTGTGAAGGAGTATGGCTCCTATTACACATCAAAAGTCTTTCGAAGGGAAACACTTGGCTCCAGATTATCACTGTGAAAGCCACACATTCCCGGCCCTCTGTGCCCCCTTTGATCCAGAGCAAGCAATGCCCAAAGGCAGTTGTGGCACTGCTGTGAGGAGGCTGCCCCACTCCTATGCAGGGCACTGGAGCAGGAGCTGCACAGGGGCCGGGCTGCCCCACTTGGCAGCACACGCTTCCACTCCACTGCCACACAGGCATTCCTCCTGCTCTGCCAGCCAGCTGCAGCTCCAGGCCCAGCCTGGGATTTGTGGTGAGGGGATTTTGCTTTGACAGCCCAATGTCATTTTGTTTTTACATAATCAGCCCTTTTTGTTATAAGCTGTGGGCTTCAGATAACAGCGGTGAAAAACTATTTCAAGTGAGAGCAGCACCCTGGGTACAGAGTGAGACAGAAAACAGTCAGAAAAACCAAATATTTCTTATTTCTTGTAATCACCTACCTTACAGCAGTCAAATGTTGACAAGTGTTTGCTGATAACTGGCTTGCAGGAAAGACGAAGTGAAAGAGAACAGCAAGAGAGGGTTTTTTTGCATTTCTGATAAACCTCTAGTTATGCCCTTCAATGACAGTTTTGCCAACAGCAAAAAAGTAAGACAAATTTTTGCAGTCTGAGGTGTCTGGAAGCAAACTCACACATGCCTTCCCTGTACTAGGCTTTTGTTTGGAGAACCTTTCCATCTGGACAAGTAGCGGGAACAGGAAAGCATTCGAAGCTGGGAAAACTACCATCCTGCTGTCTATAAAGCACTGATAGGATTTTTATGTGGAGCCCTAAAGAGAGTGACACGCAGTGCTTTTATGCCAAATGCGAGAGCTCAGATGTTTGCAAGCAAAACAAAATAAGCTGAGGCATTGAAAGCCCTTCCTGAAATGTGCCTGGTGGCTGATGCTGTGGCCCGTCCCCCAGCACATGCATTGTGCAGGCTCTGCCTCATGTGGACCCCTGGGCACAGCAGCACCACTGCTGAGATCCTGCTCATGGCAGCCCCTGCACAAAGGGGAAGGTAATTAGCAGAGAAATGACTATTGGTGCAGTTAGAAAGTAGACAAGTAATCCTTTGGAGTTTAGTTCATTGCCTCCTTGTTTTCAAACCAGCGCCTAATCTTCCCAGACCCCACTCCGTGGCTGCTCCTTTCTTCCTTTCTGTTCTCCTTCCCCCTTTTTGCAGGGACTATGGCTTATTCTGATTCACTCCGTTTCTTTCTTCCCCAACAGCCACAGGGCAGCCTGGCTGTTGCCAGGGATATAGTAAATGCATGTGACACCGGGCCACCACCAACAATCGAGCGAGTCACACTCATTCCTGGTGTAACGGCGCTGAAATCGGCACAGCCAGGCTGGGAGCTGGACAGCCCAGCTGTGAACCTGGATAAAGAGTTTTCTTTAAGGAAAATGCTCTTAAAAATAGCTTTCGGGGAGAAATGTGCAGGTTTTACTTGTAAAATGGCTGTTGGCAAAGGGTTTGTTGCCAAACTCCAGTCAGAGCACCAGTGAGAGGTGGTAAACATGCCATTCTGACAAGGAATTAGCAGGCAACATAGCACTGGGGAAAATATTACGACTTTCTTCTTCCCTGACCTGAAAGAGCCTGTTAGGAGATTAGGAATCTCCATCTCTCAAAGGTATAGCTGTTTTACCAAAATTTAATTGATGAAGAATAATATTTTGGGAACAAGAGAAAACACCTCTGTAGGATGTGGAGTGTTAGGAATACATGGAAAGTTGCCTGTATAAACAGTTCAGCAACTCTGGGATAAATTATAGGAGCATTTGTATGCATGATTGCCCATCTGTGTAAAACAAGACGTGCAGCCACAGACAGGAATGATGTGCAAGGCAGACGTGGGGCTGATGTTAACTTGATCCAGAACAGAAGATCTGTCCCATCACATCTGAGTTTGACCCAAGGAAGTTTAGATAAATCTAAATAAGTAAATAAATAGAGGAAGAGGCCTCAGTGAGAGGAAACTCAAGGTATGCTATCAACGAATCTGTTTCTGGGTTTGGGGTTTATTTAGACTCAAGTCAGATTTTGGACTGTTATTTCTCCACTTGAAGGTTTTTTGGCAGTTGCAGGAGGGCCGAAGGCTCAGATCCAGCGTGTTCCTTCCAGCTGCAGGCCCAGCGCAGGCCACGGGCACTGGCAGAGGTGTGGTGAGCTGGAGGGCTTCAAACCAGGGATGCTGTCAAGAACTCTGCCTTCCACAGCTCCCCTCTCAAGCACCAGCTGCAAAATGTCAACACCACCTTCCTCAGAGAACACAATTAATTAAACCAGGCTTAATTAATTAGTGTCAGTAAAGCAGATGTAGCAGTTATGGTGGAAGTAAACAAATGTACATATTATAAATTATCATCTTCTCTGCAAAGGATTTGGTCTGAAATCCCTGTGGCCATTTCACTCCTCCCCACCATGCTATTGGGGAGGCCTCTGGGAAACATGCAGAGATAAACTGCTAATTGATGAGGAACTAATATACTTCTATAGGTTTATATCTCAGAAAAACAATCAGCAAATAGATTTGTTTATTAACCCCTTTGGACTTGATGGTGAAATACAATCCTGATATTTAATTTCCATATCATGCAACATCATGTGCCACAAATAGGTCAATTGTTTAAAGTCTTGGGAGTTTTATTTGAAATGTTTTACACTTGAAAATCCAACTGAGGCTTTTGTATCATCTACCAGTGCTGTTCTTTGATAGAGCAGGAGAAAAAGTGTTTCATATACAGGTAATAATCAACTGTGTATCTTGGTCTGAGTGTGTGCTCACCAGAGCAGATTTTGGTCTGATTTTGCCCTACTGAGAGTGAGGAAAAATGATGCTAAACTTGGGTTGGTTACACTGAATGTAGCCTGATGTGAGTAAGGGAGAGCATCATAACCCCACTGACCCAATATACACCTCCCCTGAGGCAAAAGGGACACCTTTCATAACGTCGGTAGGTGCTGATGCAATGACAGCATTCATCCCTGCGTTGGAGATTGAGATCAAGGGAAAGAAAAGGGGGAAAAAATTGGTGGGGTATTGAAACACCAGTAACTAGTGATTGTGAAGGTATTTGTTATATGTGTCTGTGCAGTTGGTGTTCTGTAAAGCTGAATGTGAGTGTGAAAAAGCAGATGTGGAGCCACTCCAGTTTGGAGCCTTTAGAAGGAAAGTGAAGTAAATCTCTCATGCCCTGCAGATATGAGGACAATGCAAACTCAATATAACGGGCACTGTAATAGTGAAGCACACTTGGAAAATGCAGATAGAGAAGGCATACTTTACTAGGGTACAGTCATCTCCCTAATTCATGCTGTAAAGAAGCCACGAAGGGGGAAAACTTCCCCCTTTCCTTGGTGATGACTCAATGGATTAATGTAGGCAGCAGCATATGGCCAGGGTGCTGTGAGAGGTAAGTTGCAGTCAGAGGCCACTACTCTTCCTGCCACTTAGCCTGTGTGATTCCCCTTCACCCCCCAGGCTACTGATATCAATTAGTCTCTGTGGAAACAGAAGTTTCCGTGGCCCATGCCAAGGTCTCCCCTTTCTTTCTTCAGCTGGCAGCAATTCCTGTGCAAAGGACTGCCCAGTGCCAGGCTGTGTGTGCCGGACGCTGCTGCAGGGTACGGGCTGTGCCCGCCGGGGACTGCAGGTGAGCGCAGGGCCCTGCTGGCACCTGTGTGGGCTTCCAGTTTGGTGTTACCTGCTCTGTGCTTGGGGTGCTTCTCGTACGTCCCTGTGTCCGTCCATCTGTCTGTCTGCCTATGTGTCCGTCTGTCTGTCCTTGTGTCTATTCGTCCGTCTGTCTATCCATGTGTCCGTCTGTCTGTCCTTGCGTCTATTCGTCCGTCCGTCCGTGTGTCCGTCTGTCTGTCCTTGCGTC